AAAAAATCAATAAAGCCTTCAAGATGTTTGGTGACTGAACTTACAAATTATCAGTTATGCCTGGGGGGGTAAGAGAGAGAAAAAAGTTTAGAAAGCCTGTTTAAGGAAATAATTGATGAAAACATCTTAAGTCTAGTGAGAGAGGCATCCGGATAACAAAAGGGTCACCAATCCCAGGAAAATACATTTCAAAAAATACCTCATCATGGTGTATTGTAATCAGAATGTCTACAGTCAAAGTGAAACTGCAAAAGAAAAGTTAAAATTAGCAAGAAAAAAGCATCTAGTCACCTATAAAGGAAATCCCGTCAGAGTAACAGCAGATTTCTAATCAGCAGAAATCTTACAGGACAGAAAAGAATGGTATAGAATTTTCAAAGCTAAAAGGAAAAACAAAAACAAAACAAAACACAACACCTGTCAACCCCCACTTTTATATCCAGCAAGAATAAGCTTCATAAAGAAAGAATACTCAGCCAAGCAAACACTAAGGGAATTCATCACCACTAGACCAGTCCTATAGGAAATGCTTGAAGGAGTTTTAAAATGGAAACAAAATGTCAGCATTCACCATCAGGAAAACAGACAAAAGCTATATAGAACTCATAGGTATTATAAAACAAACACACAAAAGAGGAAGAGAAAGGAATCATTGGCAACACAAAAGAATTCCACCAAAACACAGACAACCACACATAGAAAAAAAAATTTATAAACCGACTAGGTAATAATTGAAAATATGACAGGAACAAAACCATATATATCAATATTAGTTTTGAATGTAAGTGGATCAAATGATCCAAGTAAAACATAGACAGTGGAATGGATAAAAAATGTGATCCAACTATATGCTGCTTATATGAAACTCACCTTACCTGTAAAGACACACATATACTGAAAGTAAAAGGGTGGAAAAGATATTCCACAGAAACCAAAAGCAAAGAGGAGTAGCGTTACTTATATCAGATAAAACAGATATTAAATCAAAACAGTAAAAGACGAAGAAGGTTATTATACAGCGATAAAGGGGTATATATGCACATGACACTGCAGCACCTAGATTCATAAAACAATTATTACTAGACTGAAATAAAGAATTAGCAATACAATAATAGTAGGTCAACACCCCACTGACAGCACCAGGCAGATTATCAAGACAGTAAGTCAATAAACAAACATTGGAATTAAATAGGACTTTAGACCAAATGGACATGTAACAGACATCTACAGAACACTCTACCCAACGACTGCATAATATACATTCTTTTCATAAGCACATGGAAAATTCTCCCAGATAAATCATATATTAGGCCAGAAAACAAGTCTTGAATAAATAAATAAATAAATAAAAATCTTCTCAGACCACAGTGCAGTAAAAAACTGGGAATCAATGCCCAGAGAAACTCTGGGCCCCTTAGAAGCATATGGAAATCAAACGATATGCTCACTGGGTCAACAAAGAAATCAGGATGGAAATTTTAAAAAAATTTTGAAATGAATGATGATGATAAGATGTAGTAACAGCCAAATTCTACATACCAAAACCTGTGGAATAGAACAAAAGCATTGCTAAGAAGGAAGTTTACAGCATTAAATACCTATATAAAAAATGTAGAATTATCATCAATTAACAATCTAACACTGCACCTCAAGGAATTAACAAAACAAGAAAAAAAAAAAAAAACCAAAGTTAGCAGAACAAAAGCAGTAAGAGATCAGAGCAAAACAAAATAAATGGAGACAAAAACATTTACAAATGATGAAGGAAATTAAGTTTGTTCTTCGAATGACAAAATTGATAAACTACTAGCTAGTCAAGAACAGAGATCTAAACAAACCAAATCAGAAAGAAATAAGACATTACAACTGAACTACAGAAATAGGAAAGATCATCAGAGACTATACTACTTTATAAATTAGAAAACCTAGAGGAAATGGATTCCTGGAAACAGATAAATTTCTGGAAACATATAATACAACCTCCCAAGGTTGAACCAGGAAGAAACAAAAATCCTGAACAAACCAATAATGTAAATAGCAAGAATGAATCCATAATAATAAAAAATGTCCTAACAACAATAAAAAAGCCCAAGATAAAATGTAACAGCCAAATTCTACCAAGCATACCAAGAAGAACTAATACAAATACTCCTGAAACTGTTACAAAACATTGAGGAGGAGGGAATTCTCCCTAACTCATTCTGTAAGGCCAGTATAACACTGAAATCAAAACCAGACAAGGACACAATACAAAAAAGAAAACAATAGATGGATATTCCTGATGAACACAGATCATAGACACAAAAATCTTCAGCAAAATACTAGCAAATCGAGTCCAACAGCACATCAGAAAGATAATACACCATGATCAAGGCGGTTTTATGCCAGGGATGAAAGAATAGTTAAGTATATGCAACTCAATAAATATGATACATCACATAAACAGAATTAAGGACAAAAATAATATAATCATCTCAATAGATGTAGAAAAAGCAATGTGATAAAATTCAGTATTCCTTCCTGACAAAAATCCTTCATAAACTAGGCAAAGAAGGAACATAACTCAAAATAATAAATGCCATCTATGACAAACCCACAGCCAACATCATACTGAATGGGGAGAAAGCTGAAGGCATTCTCCCTAAGAATTTAAACAAGACAAGGATGCCCACTTTCATCACTCGTATTCAACATAGTACTGGAAGTCCTAACCACAGCAATCAGGCAAGAGAAATAAATAGAAGTCTTTCAAATAGGAAAAGAGGAAGTCAAATTATCTGTGTTCAAATTATCTATGATCTTAATCTAGAAAACCCTAAGGACTCCGCCAAAAAAACATCTTAGATTGGATAAATGAATTTAGCAGAGTTTCAGGATACAAAATCAAGGTATAAAAATCAGTAGCATTTCTATACTCTAACAATGATATAGCTGAGAACCAAACCAAGAAGGCAATTCCATTTATAAAAGATACCAAAAAAAGGACCTAGAAATGTATTTAACTAAGGAGGTAAAAGATCTCTATAAGGAAGACTACAAAACACTGATGAAAGAAACCATAGATGACACACACAAAGGTAAAAACATTACATGCTCATGGATTGGAAGAATTAATACTGTTAAAACGACCGTAATGCCCAAAGGAATCTACAGATTCAATGCAACCCCTATCAAAATACCAATTTCATTTTTCACAGAATTAGAACCCTAAAATTCATATGCAACACAAAAACCCAAATAGCCAAAGCAATTCTAAGCAAAAAGTACAAAGCTGGCAGGACTACATCATCTGACTTCAAATTATACCATAAGACCATAGTAACCAAAGCATCAATGGTACTGGTATGAAATGAGACACAATCAATGGAACAGAATAGAGAACCTAGAAATAAACCCACATATAGCTAACTGATCTTTGAACATACACTGGAGAAAGTATGCTTATTACATGTGTGACAAAAAAATCTGTACACCAAACCTCCATGACATGTAATTTACCCATATTACAATCCTGCATGTCCACCCCTTGAACCTAAAAGTTGGAAGAAAAAAAAGTGGGCAACATGCTTATACTCTGTTGGTGGGTATGTAAATTAACACAATCTCCATGGAAAACAGAATTAAGATTTCCCAAGAAAGTAAAAATAGAACCACTCTTTGATCCAGCAATCTAAACAAAGGAACAGAAATGATTAAATCAAAATGATAGCCCCACTCCTATGTTTACTGCAGCACTATTTACAATAGCAAAGATTTGCATTCAACGCAAGTGTCCATTGATGGATGACTGGATCAAGAAAATGTGGTCTCTATGCACAAAGAAATACTATCCAGCCATAAAAATGAATAAAATCTTGTCTTTTACAGCAACATGACAGAACTGGAGGCCATTATCTTAAGAGAAACAACTCGGACACAAAAGCAAAAACCATGTGATCTCACTTATATGTGGGAGCTAAATAATGTGTACACATGGAGGTGTAGTGTGGAGTGATAAGACACTGGAACTCAGAATCATGCTGGGGGTATCAGAGGGGCAGGGATGAGAAATTACATAATGCACAATGTGCAGTACTCCAATAATGGGTAGTACATTAGAAGTCCTGACTTCACCACTACACAATATAGCCATGTAACAAAATATACTTGTACTCCTTAAATTTTTACAAATAAAAATAATCAGAAAAAACTTTATTTTTCTAATTGACTACACTCAGGTTTAAATACACACATCTAAGAGCTGAATAAATTAAAATGAAATTAGTGATTTTGACTAAAAATTTTCTTGCATATGTATATGTGTATATATATATATATATATACTGACATATATGTATAAGTATGCATACTATCTATGTCAACCTTTAGGAAGTTCTTTGGAATTGTTCAGGTACAACTCTAGAGAACCTAGCACAGTGACAGCATTACCCTGGTAAAAAGTCACTGAGTATGTCTGCACTTATAATTTTGGTCTTTAGCAATTAACAGGTTTCATCTTTTTCAGCCACATTTATCACAATGGTCTTTAAAAAAATTTTTTTTTAATTGTGGCAAAATACCTTTTTACTCCTAAAATATGTATCTTTTACTCCTCAATTTTGAAAGTGTTTCTGAACCTCTTTCAGGCCAGAAACATTCTTCTGATTTAATATCCAGTTTCAAAACTGACCTCTAGCTAACTTATTTCTCTTCCCAGTAATATTTATACATGATTAACTCTTTGGCAATTTTTTGCTGGAGAATTTGGTAAGCTTTGGTTAGGTACTATATTTCCATCATAGTTTTGAATTCTGTATCCTCTGTGCCATATTTTGAAGGCTGATAATTTGGTCTTCCATTCTATATCAAATGCAAGACATAAATGCATTGTGCCTTATGTAGGCCGTAAGATAAACTGTTATTGTTACAAGTTAACTATTTTCTGCCCCAAAGACAGACATTAGGCATTTCTTCCCATCGTAAATACTTTCATTCAGCCAGTTCTATTCTGTACTTCATAGGCTGCTCAAGAAAAAGAAGAGCTTCAAAGGGAAGGTGACTGTTTGGATGCTAAAATCAACAAAGCTGAAAAAGAAATCTACGCTCTAGAAAACACCCTGCAAGTTCTCAACAGCTGTAACAACAATTACAAGCAATCTTTAAAAAAAGTAACTCCATCCAGTATGTAGGAGTCTAAATTTTATACACACACACACACACACACACACACACACACACACACACACACACATATATGCAGTGACAAGTGTATAGATAAATGGAACACTGTGAGACATGGAGAACAACAAAAGTATACTATGTTTGATTGGATCAGAAAAACTAATCTCTTTTCTTTCCTCCCCTCATGCCTTTTTTTTTGGTGGGTGGTTTGCTAGGGTGTTACTTCCATTATTACTTCTGGTTTGGTATGGCATATCACCTCTCTAGGGTAATCAATTCAAAAAGTGAAAAAAATGGCAGCATATTGCTGCTTTATGTAGACCAAACAAGAAATGGCTACTACATGTCTACAGTGTTTTTCTACCAGTGGATATAAAAAATTTAACCTTTCATAACAAATACTGGTGCAATTTATGTAATACTTTAAAACTGATTTCTACATAGTACGTTGAAAATTTAAACTAAAAATGTTCTACATTCCAGGTGATGAGTATGAGCTACAAATTCAACTAGAAGAACAGAAAAGAGCTATTGATGAAAAATACAGATACAAACAAAGACAAATCAGAGAACTTCAAGAAGACATCCAGGTAAATTCTACAGGCATTTTAGTAATATGCCTTCCATAAAAGTCAACTATCATTACTACTACTTCTATTCTTTTGATCTTGGACCAAGAAGACAGTTATTTAGAATCTCTTTTAGGGAAGTAGATAGTAAGAGATAAGTCTCATTTAAAGGAGACAAAAACAAGTGCTCAAAGTCTTAGGCAAATTAAAATCCCAGTGCTAAGCACTGCCAATTACTTGTTATTAGCTGGTAGATCATAGTTATTATGATGTACCCATTAACCCTTTAAGGAACTTTAATTTCTTAGAGATCACATTAAGATTGCTTCTTAAAGAGTTTGAAAGAAAAAAATAATCTAGTACAAAGTAGTTACTAAAGCAAATCACTAAAAGATAAAAAGAATGTGCCTTGTAAAAAGGCACTACATAAAAATTGATTTTACTAATAAAGCTGAAGAAAAGACACCGTGAATTTTTGAAAATTCCATTTTGTCATTGTTTTATCCCAAATACCATAAAAATAATTTCCAGTTGAATTACATACAAAATTTAATCCATAAAACCATTACACAGTTGTGCACTGCGTAACAATGGGACTGCATTTGGATGAATGCATCCTTGGGTGATTTTGTCACTGTGTGAACATCCTAAGGGTGTACTTACGCAGACCTTGATGGTATAGTTCATTGTTCCTAGGCCATAAATCTGTAGAGTGTGTTACTGTACTGAGTTCTATAGGCAACTGTTACACAATGGTACTTAAACATCTAAACATATCTAAACATAGAAAATGTACAATAAAAATACAGTCTAATGGACAAAAAAAAGGGTACACTTGTACAGGGCACTTACCATACATGGAGCTTGCAGGACTGGAAGTTCCTCTTGATGAGTCAGTGAGTGAGTGGTGAGAGAATGTGAAGGCCTAGGACACTACTGTAGACATGATGAACAATGTACACCCAGGCTACAGCAAATTCATAAAAATCATTTTATTTCTCCAATAATAAATTGACCTTAGCTTACTATAGCTTTTTAATTTTAAAAATTTTTAATTTTGTAAGACTTTTTGACTTTTGTAATAACACTTAGCTTAAACACACATTGTTCAACTGCACAAAAATATTATTTCTTTATATTCTTATTCTCTAGGCTTTTTTCTATTTTTAATTTTTACTTTTTAACTTTTTTGTTAAAAACTAAGACACATACACACACATAAACCTAAGCCTACCCGGGGGTCAGGATCATCAGTATCACTGTCTTCCAGCTCCATATCTTGTCCCACTTGAAGCTCTTCAGGGCCAGTAACATGAATGAAGCTCTTTCAACTCGTATGATAACAATGCCTTCTTCTGGAATACCTCCTGAATGACCTGCCTGAGGCTGTTTTATAGTTAACTTTTTAAATAAATAGTACACTGTAAAATAATGATAAAAGTATGCTGTACAGTAGATACATAAATCAGTAATATCTTTTATTATCAAGTATTATGCACTGTACATAATCATATGTGCTAGACTTTTATATGACTGGCAATGCAGGTTTGTTTACACCAGCATCACCACAAACTGATGAGTAATGTGTTGTCCTACAACATTACAATGTCACTAGGTCACAGGAATTTTTCAGCTCCATTATAATCTTATGGGACCACCATCATATATGCAGTCCGTCACTGACCAAGACATGATGTTAAGAGGTTCATCACTGTACTTATTATTCACCAACAGAAATAATGTATATATGTACAGAAATAAATGAGTTAAAATTCAACGAATACTTGATAAATGCCAAGTTATAAAAGTCAATTTCTGATTCTAACAAATATGTTAATACTTTTTCTGCAGAGCATGGAAAATACATTAGACGTTCTAGAACGTTTAGCAAATAATGTCAAAGAAAAATTATCAGAAAAGCAGGCTTATTCATTTCAACTAAATAAAGAAACGGAGGAGCAGAAGCCAAAATTAGAAAGAGTGACGAAACAGGTATTGTTGTCTTTGAAAAACTGACCTGTCATATTTTTGAAGTCCCAAATCCTCCTTTATCTATTAAAAATATTAAATTCCGGAACACAGTTTTATAGAATAATTGACTATTATTTACCAACAGTGTGCAAAACTCACAAAGGAAATCCGTCTTTTGAAAGACACAAAAGGTGAATCACTGGAAGAACAAGATATCAAACTTCGTGAACTCAAACAGTTTCACAAGGTTATTGATGAAATGTTAGTTGGTATCACAGAAGAAAATGCTGAGATCCGCATTATCCTTCAAACATACTTTGAACAGGTAATATATGGCACCTCCTATTAAATATATCTTAAACACTTATGAAAATGAAACTTTTATGGCATTCATGAAGTGAAATCTAATTAAAAATATTTCTCCTCTGAAAAATAGTAATACTAATGACTGCTATTCAATATTCCTCCAGAGTGGGTTAGACCTACCTGCAGCTAGTACTAAAGGCAGTCACCAGAGTTCCAGATATCCTTCACACACTTCACTACCATCAGTAAGGTAAGTGGAAGGTTACAGAACAATCTCCTTAACTCACATCTGTATACTAAGTGATCCCAGCCACCTCTGTCACCACAGCTATTGGGACAGGCCCATGCACTCACTCCTGTATTCTTTGCACCCTCAGACATCTCACTAGTCAGCATCATAGAGATTAGATGCAGAAACCGCCAGCAGAACAGGAGTTTCATTCTGACTTCTGCTGGTGTCACTACTTCCAGTATAGCCCAAGTGCTCTGTGATTATCAGCTATTTCAGGAGGATAAAGCAGAAATAAATTTGGAGGCTACATCTAGCACTTGGGGGTAAACCTGGGAGATTATCTTTTAAACCTGTAAGGGCAGCTTAGATGTACAGACCTATAGAATATGATTTTTGTGATTAAAACCACATTGTGCTATTTTACATAATTAGGATTTGACTTTATTTATGAAGCTTTATTTTGCTAAAAAGGAAACATTTTTTTCCTTCTGCAGTTTATTGTTACCCAGAATTCTATCACCAAATGCTTAAACCAACATTCTCGTGCTGTGCTGACAAAAACTTATATTAATAATAATCCTGAATTTAGAATTCACAATCTCCTGCATTTAGTAGCTATGCATTAAATTACTATTCCTTAGTCCATGTAAAGATTTCATGAAGAGGCCCCTAAAAAAGTGTTTAAGTATAAAAAATGTTTCTATGTAATTGAACATCCCTGTACTTTCATAAAATATGTATATTTAAAACATCATTTCAGGATTACATAGTTGTTTTTCACATGATCCTACCACTTCCACTTTATCCATCAATATGCTTCTCACTTAAATTACAAAGGGAATCATTTTAGTTATTCTTGCCAGCACCAAAATCCTATTGCCCCTCTTTCCTCTGTCTTGGAAACTTTTAATGTTTAATGATTCCAACTCTAAAAAATTGATTATAGTTGAAAGCATTTTTACCATATAGAAATAGAAACACAATTAAACCACTTTTCTACTGGTGTGAAACTTATCTATGTTCATCTTTCTTTTCAAATTTTTTGATATCTATTAATGGTCATTTAAAAAACTTATTAACACTATTACTATGTACTTTTTAAATCTCTTTACTTACGGAATTACGGTACCCTTTGCCAATAATGGAGGGGTCTATACTAAAATATGAACTTTGCATTAAACTTATAATTCTGGCTTTTCTTCCAGGTCATCTAGGAGGACAAGTACACCTACTTCTCAGACTTCAGTTAAAGTATTAGAGCTTAACTTCCCGGCCTCCTCTTCACTAGTAGGCAGCCCTTCTAGGCCAGCTAGTGCTAGTAGTAGCTCTAGTAATGGTAAGAGCAAAAAGAGCAGCAAATAAACATTTTAATCTCTTCTGAAAAAGTTGTAAACACAAAAACAAAAATATCATACTTTAAAATACAAAATGATCCAACACATTTTATCTAGTGGAAAGTGTAAAATCTTAGTAAAAAGTGTAACAAACAACTGATAGTTTTTTTTTTTTTTAAAAAAGGAATGTTCTCTACTGTTTTCTTCAAACTGAAGAACACATTAATAGCAGATTCTTGTCAGGTTACAGGTTATACAAGCATAGGGAAAACCCTGTATTTCACTGTAATTTTGATGTTCGTAGTGTTAGAAAATAGTTTCCTTTATTATTTCACAAACTACACTCACTTCTAATGTAACAATCTTTCAGGAAGACATTTCTAAAAGATTTACTCTACTATTATGAGCTTATTACAATGTTAAAGTCTCACCCTGTAAGACACCAAAATTAGGTTTTATTCAAAGTAACTATTTCTCAGACTTTTGGGAAGAAAAGTTATTAAAGGCAGTTTCTTCTTTTGGTATAATTTTTAACCAAAAAATAGGATGAACCCCCACTCTCCCCAAAAAAATCCAATTGATAAGAATACTGTACATCCATTTTAAAATGCAGCTTAAATTTCTAAAAATCACTTCATTCTGACCTTGAAAGAAATCAAAAGCATTAAATATTTCCTTACAGATACAGCCAACCAAGTATAAAAAATACATTTTTGAAACGTTATTGATTTAATAAACAATTTAATGAAAACTAGATATGATTTGATTTGCAATAGAAATTTTTTAAGTTTACAGTTGGAGGTAGACTGCCAAATTTAGTAGTTTTTCCAGTTAACACTTCATTATAACATGTGCCCAACACTTTGTACTCTTGGAATAGAATGTGGAATATAAAACTGGATTTTAAATAAATGTATTAGAATTCATGAATGTACATGTGTCTCCTTTAAACCTAGGGGAAAAAAAACTCATTACAACTGTCATTTTAGAACTGCTGTTTGTATTTCTTTCTGAAAAGCAGTAATGGTAGTGAATAGTTCTCCTATTATTTTTTTAGAAATAGTGAAGGAAAGGCATAGCAAAGTCCAAAGAACAAGATGGGCAAAAAAAAGCTAGGTAATAAAATTTTTGGCTGAAGTATTGCTCTAATGCATGAGATTTATAAGACCTAAAAACTGATTAAAGCCACTTTGCTCACCAAAGTTCTTATTCTCAGCCCTATACTAGTTTGAGAATTACTTAAATGTTGAAGTAACATTAAATACTGTTCGGTGCAGGCAGAGGTTCTATCTTACTAGCTCTGTAACCTTGGATGGTTACTTCCTTTTTCCTCATTTGTAATACACAGAAAGAAATCACTGGGTAATACAAAAAGGATGCACAGGGCTTGATGCACAGAAATTGCACTATGTAACAACTTCTACTTATACTGAGTCGCCACCCAGAGCTTACCACATCCTTAGAATGGTTTGGTTCTTAGGCTAGCATACAAGTCTACATTTAATCCTTAAATGACAGTTCTAACTTCAGTGTACTAGTGATAAATGGTGCAATAGGGGATCAATCCATCTCCAACCTGGACAGTTATCCTCATATCCAAAAGTCACACTTACTCTGCTTATGGAGACCAAGATATTTTCTCCCATTCTGCAGGTTGTCTGTTCACTGTGTTATTTCTTTTGCTGTGCAAAAGCTTCTTAGTTTACTTAAGTCCCATTTTGTTTTTGTTGTTTAAGACACCAGTCTCGCCGTCACCCAGGCTGGAGTGCAGTGGCACAATCAGAGCCCACTGCAGCCTCAAACTCCTGGGTTCAAGTGATCCTCCTGCATAGCTAGGATTATAGGCATGCACCACCACACCCAGCTTATTTGTAAATGTTTTGTAGAGATGGAGTCATGCTGTGTTGCCCAGGCCAGTCTCAAATATCTTGCCTCACGCAATCATCCTGCGTCAGCCTCAAGTGCGGGGATTACAGGCATGAGCCACTGTGCTTAGCCCCTTTTGCTTGTACTTTTGAGGTCTTAATCATGAATGTGCCTACACCAATGGTAGGTTGGGAGGGGGTGAGGGAAGAGAAATTATGTAATGGGTGCAATGGTTAAGCTAGAAGCCCAGACTTTACTACACATTATATCCATGTAAGAAAAACGTACTTGTACCCCCTTCAATTTACATGAATTTAAGAAAAATTTTTTTAAATGGTGTGTTTAAAACTGTAAGCTGTACTAGGTATTCCAAAAGGTCAAAGACTATGCCAAGAGATAGTTTTCACTCTATAAACGCCACTACATAGGAGACTATGTAAAGATGATACTGGAGCTATTAATACATAGAATTAAGGACTCTTTTAAGACGAACTTCTTAAAAGAAGCTGCTTCGTGGTGCAAAGACTAATGCTTTGAGTGACTAAGCCCATTTCTACCACCGTAATCTACTGCTCTTGACCAGGGTCTCTCTTCCCCGTTCCGTTTGCAAAACAGATTTCAGACTTTTCACTAGGCCCTCGTCCCTGGAGTTTGACAGACACAAAATAACACACACCCAGTACTTAAAGCCTGGACATTTTACCATTGGCAAGAACTGCAAGACAGAACAGGGAATCAAAGTCTCTTCTTCCTGTATTATTCTCCCTCACTGAGACTTCTGTAGACACCCAGCTACCCACCTACTTATCCAGCATCAACGTGTGTGACAGTATCCAAAGCCTGTTATAATTTATAGCTTCAAGAATCTTAAACTGCAAAGACTCCAATGACATCATAAACCCAATACCTACAACTCCTATCTCTATCTCCCAAAGAATATACTATTTCCAGCGATTTGGGGAGTCTCTTTGTTCTTCGGCTCTAGCTGCTGGAACTTATCCTGAGTAAAACCAGGCTCTGGTTGGTCTAGTTATTCATTCAGACTCTGAAGAAGGGTTCACCGGGGAAGCACCAAGGGACAGGAGGCAGTGTGAGGTGGAGAAATGCGGGTCAGATTTCAAAACATTCCTGGTGCCTTCTGGACTGAACATCTGCAATACTACGACAGTTTCCCAATTTTCTTTCCCTAGAGAAAAGCCGGATTTACAATGTGCTTCTCTGCTACTGGTATGTTTTTGCTAAAAAGATTTTTTTCTTTTCTGATGTACTCTTGCCTGGAATATAGGCCCTCAGGGTCTTACAAATATTTCAAGTTAAAAAGCTTTTTATCGCTACAATGCTAGCAACAGGTAAAAAGAATGGAGAAACCAGCAAAACGCGCTTCTATTCAACTTTTATGGTCTTATTCCTCAGGCACTTATGCTGGGTGCAAGCCAATGACTGTTCACAACCACTTTTAATCAAATCGGGCTTTAGAGGAAAATGAAGACACATAATCTACCATTTAAAAATAAAAAAAAACTGGGCAAAAACGTAATATTTAAACTGATCAATATAAAATAGTGTTCAAGAAACACTCGAACATATAATCTTTCAAAAGCTGATGATTTTTAATTTAACAGAAAAGAAAATGTAATCATTTTTTATAAAAATGATCCATGTGTTCAATGCACAAATTTTCTCTCAAACAGCAGGGTAAGTGGACCCAGGAATTCTCATATACCGTAACAGAAAGAAGAAACAGTACTTTCAGAGAATTGTCTTTAAGCGAAGAAATTCAAACTGTAATATACTATACATAAATACATACATATAAAGCCTAAAAACCAAGCTGTGACAGGGACCTACAACTGAAAGAAAATTTGAGAGAAGCTTAAAAGCATTTGTTTCCTGTGATCTCCACACATAATTTTAGGAGCAGAGACTACTGCACTGAACTCTTAGGACTAAAAACACCCAAAACCTTACTTAATGGCATTCTGTGTAATGGCGCTGATATCCTTGGTGTATTAATTTTTTGACTTATTTCCTTTTTCTTTTTCAAATTCAGCTATCTGATTGAATATATTGAGTAAGTTCTGAGGTAAATTCTTTTTAACACTGCTTTCTGAGTGTCCTTTGCTACTTAATGCAGCTTCCTCTGGAACCTCTGTTTTGCTATCCTCCCCATAATTGTCCTCTCTTTCATATTCTCCTTGACTTGTATTTAACCGGTATCTTTGCTCATGTCTACTGAAATCACGTGATCCAGAGTGAGTATACTTTTTGTATTTCTCACCTGACTTCCAAGAGTTGTCTGAGCTTGCTGGTGAGGTAGAATGCCTCACAGAACCTGGTTCCCACCTTCTATAGTGCTCTTTTCTTCCTTCCATATCTTTTTCAAATCTCCTATAACCATATATCTTGTCCTCTGAATTCCTACAGAAAAAATCTGAGGAATTTCTTCTACTAGAAAAATGTCTTTCTGATCTATATGGCTTTTCTGTTTTGCTACTACCTGCTTGGGTTTTATAGCTATTATAAAAACCTCTTGGATCTTCAGACCTACCTCCAAAATCATCCGGTATTTCAACTGCAGATGAAGAGAGAGGGCATCTATCTTTCTCTTTGATTTGTGTCTTTTCACACTGTAACCTATCCTGCTTTCCCAGGAGTTTCTCCACTTCTTGTTTATGGTTAAGAAAAGATGCTGAAGTATTAGCTGGAACTGGGTAGCACTCATCTTTCCTATTCTGATCTATCTGAGTTGAGGATGCCCTAGATGAATGCCTTCTGGAACTTCGAGACAACTCTGAACGGTTCCTCTTATGTTTCTTATGCCTTTTGTGACCAGAAGACGAAGAGGATGATGATGAAGACACTGATTCATCAGCAGAAGAAACACTTGAAGAGGAAGAAGTTGATTTTCTTCTTTTCTTCTTTAGCCTAAAAACAATATAGTTTACCTTGTCATATATGTACAAAAATGTTTCTAAATTATTCATAAAGATGTGGGTCCTATTTGTTTCCTTTAAAGATTTTATAAAACTATGGTTCAGACACATGATATAATAATCTCAGCTCCTACAAGATCTAATATTACCATTAAGCACTTTTCGGAGGAAAAAATGCTTGCAGACATTTATCATTTTAAGTAAATCCATAATTTCTGAAAGACAGAGACTTTTTCAATGCTATCTTAAAAACTTAAGACTACTGAACACATATAGGAGAGAATTCAAGTTTTGTACTTGGCTACTCTAGTTCACGGTTTCTTCACCTGATTACTGGTATGTTCAGCCTAATAATTCTTTGTCGGGGGTGGGCATGGGAGCTGTCCTGTGCACTGTAGCCTGTTTAATAGCATCCCTGACCAACACACATTAGATGCAGTAGCACCCTATTAGTTATGGCAATCAAAAATGTCTCCACATGTTGTCAAATGTCCCTGGGGGAATAAATCCACTCCTAGCTGAGAATCACTGCTCTAGTTCTAAAACATTTCTTCCTAAAATACAATTAAAGCAATTTATTCTGTATTTTAATTCTAAGGTTAATTTTTTTTTTGTCGAGTTCTAGGCTTAAATTCCACTTCATCTCTTTAATAGGAAAATACATGGAACACATAATTGCTAAAGATTCTTAACAGTCATTGATTACCACTTGAAATACTTTCACATTTTTATTTACTTTACCTCCAGTATGGCACTTTAGGTTCAATTCAGTAGGTGCCTTAAGTTTAAAAATACTGAATATTATAGTTTACCTCTTCTCTTCTTTTAAGAGCTTACGCAATTTTTCTGCACTTGTTTCTATTTTCTTTGTTTTCTGCTTTTCTTCCTTTTCAGCTTGTTTTTCTCTTAATTCCAAAGATTTCTTTTAGAACCCAGATATCGAAAAAAACCACACGTTAAAAATAGCAAAATATATAAAAACCCAGTATTCAAAAGACCACCCCCAACCAGAAGCCCAATTCAGTAAAACCAAATCACCATACAGCCAGCATTAAGCAGTATTTTTTTTTAACATAAAGAAATTAATCAGACAGATGTTTGGCATTAATCATTGAAATGGCCAGAGC